TGAGCTATCCCCAGCAATCTGTCCTCTTTGTTATTAACCACTCACTCTCCCAGTTTTTATGTTAGCTGGGAACTTTTCCAGTGAAGATGTTATGTTTACTGCCAGGTCATTGATAAGAATATTAAATAGTGTAGCGCCAAGACCTGATCCTGCAGGACCCCACTAGAAATACAGCCACTCAGAGATGATTCCCCATTTACAATTACACGTGGAGACCTATCAGTTAGCCAGTTTTTAATCCATTTAATGTGCGCCAGGTTAATTTGATTCCAGTCGAGGTTTTTTTAATCAAAATGTCACGTGATACCACATCAAAGGCCTTGCAGAAGTCTAAGTTATTACAGTCAGCACTATTACCTTTATCAACCAATCATGCAATGTAATAAGAAATCTAGTTAGTTTGACAGGATCTATTTTCCATAAACCCGCATTGATTGGTATTAATTATAATACCTCTCTTTAGTAATTGTGTCCCATATCAGCTGCTCCATTATATTGCCCAGGATTGACAGGCCTGGGTCATCCCTTTTTAAAATATTTGCACAGCATTGATTTTCTTCCAGAACTTCCTCATTGCTGCAAGAGTCATTGAAAACCAACATTAACAATGCAGTGAACTCTTCGGACAGTTCTTTTTATAGTCTTGGCTGTGAGAGATCTGGACCTGCTGATTTTAAAATGTCTAACTTTTGTAACAGCCGTTTAACATTCTCCACAGCTACTAGTGGAATGGAAAGAGTGTCATCTTCATATGATATAACTACACCATCTGTTTCCCCCCAAATACAGAATAGAAATATTTATTTAATACGTCTTCCGTTTCTGCATTATTATTGATAATGCTACCATTTCCATTTAGTAATTTCCATCCACCAATACCATTGTTAGCATTCATTTTGTTCCTAATATACTTAAAAAACCTCCTTCTTACTGTCCTTATTTCTGCTGGCCATAAATTTTGCCTTGTATCCTTTTGCTTCCCATATCAATTTTCTACAATTGCTATCTTCTGATTTATATTCATTACTCTCAACTTCCCCTTTCTTCCATTTATTATATACTGGGTTGTTTTTTTGTTTTCATTTTTTATAGCTGCTTTCACTTTCCCTCCTAAGCCTGTCAGTTTTTTAACCAATGTGGACTTATTTTTCAATTGTGTAATTGTGGCTTTTGGGGCATCTAGTAAAATGTTCTTAAACAATTCCCAAATTATCATTCATATTTTTCTGTTTAAATTTTCCTTCTAGCTAATTTGGCTCAAAATTGTTTTCAGCTTTGTGAAGCTGGGTCTTTTAAAGCACCAAGTGTATATCAGTGGTTTGGACTTTATTCTGTTTGCACATCACACATGTGATCAAGTTATGATCACCTGCACCTGAGCATCATTAATTTTCCATTCTGTGATAAATTTCTCTTTATCTGCCAAGATGAGGGCTAATAGAGAATTCCTCCATGTTGGACACAGCACGTTTTGAGTTAGGAAATGGTCATCTATCATATTAAGAAATTCCAAGGATGTTTTAGTACCAGCAGCAAGAGACCTCCAGCGTGTGCCACTCAGGCTGAAGTCTGCCATGATCACACAGCTTTTTCTCGGACACATTATAGCTAGGGGCTTAAGGAGCCAGCCAAACTATTCCCTAGTGTGACTTGGCGGTTTGTAGCACACACCAAGTCGTACTCCATCTTGTGCATTACCTGTGAGGACGTTGATCTGTAAACATTCCAGATCACTTTCTTCTGAGTTATCAGTGACTCGAAAGCAGGTGATATATTTACACACTGTCATTGGTCGTCCTCTTTAGCCTGCTGCATCCTTCCCAAACCATTCTCCCCCTATACTGCTGCCTATCTATCTATGGTGCTTATCTGTCCCCCATCACTGTAGGATCTGAGCTCCTCACAATCTGCAATGTATTGAGCCTTACAGCACTACTCTGTGGTAGGGCAGGGCTATTCCCCACCCAGTTTACAGCGGGGGAACTGAGGCACAGAGAGGCGACGTGACTTGACCAAGTCACACTGGGTATCTGTAGCGGAGCTGGGACATGAACACTGGTCTCTTGCAGCCTAGGTTGAGCCCTAATCAGTGCATGATCCTTCCGCTTCTCTGCGAGCCTGCGGATTCAGGCTCACGTACAAGTCATTGCAATACCAGTGTGATGAGCCAGTGGTTGGGGCATTCACGTGGAAGATTTGGGTTCTCTGCCACAGACTGCCTGGGTGACCTGGGGCAAGTCACTCTAGCCTCTCTGTGCCTCTCCGAGGTACTCAGCTGCAATGGTGATGGGCCTTGGAAGTACCTAAAATAGATAGGTACCTACGTTCCCTCTAAGCACCATGCAGGCGCTCAAGGTTGCGGCGAAGCAAGATGCCTCTTCCCCAGCCCCAGACCTGTCACCGCCGGGAGAGGCGCCTCTCCCCTGGCCCCAACCCAGCCCTGGCCCAGAGCTGCAGCGGCCGGGGGAAAGGTGCCTCTCTCCCCCAGCCCAGGTGCTGCTGTGGGGAGAGAGAGCTGGGGGGAGTCCTCTCTCCCGGCTGTAGCCCCGGAGCAGCCTGCACCCCAAACCCCTCATCCCCAGCCCCGCCAGAGCCCTCACACCCTCGCACTCCAACCCTCTGCCCCAGCCCTGATCCCCTCAGCCTCACCCCAGAGCCCGCACCCTCTGCTGGAGGCCTCACCCCAATCCTCTTCCCCAGCCCTGAACCCCCTCCCACACTCTGAACCCCTCGGCCCCACCCCCGCCACATGAATTTTATTAGGTGACACATCACCTCCATATTGGTGCACATAACAAAATGCATTGCGCACATGTACGGGACAAATGCGAGGGAACACTCCTAGGTACCATCCTTTCTCTGGCTTGGGGGTGTGCTTTGCAAAGTGTTGATAAACGGACATTATTCCTGAACGTGCTGCACAATCAGTCACTTGGTTCATACACTTCCCAGCACTGCCCCGGCCCCTGCTGGCGCAGCTAATAAAGAGACAAACCCAGCCCGGGCGTTCTGTCCCAAGTCCCGCTTGTCCGGGCTCATAAAAACAGCCAAGCTCAGATCTCTGTGAAACTCACGTTTGTTTCTCTTTATTGGTGTAAAGCTGTAGCACACGGTATCATTTTGACAAGGTACACGGTTCCCTTCGAACGCATGGGCACTAACAAACAAGACTGTGACGGGCGGCCGCGTCATTCACGTACAAAACAAGAGCTGGCCGGACAGAGGTGGGCGTAGGGATCGCAGAAACGGGGCTGTGAAACAGACAACACAGGCCTTTCCAGAGCGAACAGCGCCGGCTGCTGGGTGTTCTGGGAGGCACCTTCTTGGCTGGTGGGGCGTGTTAGCGAAAACTCTAGGCTGCACCCCCATAATCCATACGCACTGGAAATGCAGTGAGGGTGGGGGAGAGGGATGGAATTTCGCACTTTCTAGGAAATGGTAAAACTCTTTGGAGTTGAGTAGAACTAGTTACATACCCACTAAATACCCCCAATGCCGGTGCGGTCCAAGGGGCGGCCCTGACTGAGACCCAGGGAAGCCCGTAGGGTCAGATCCCCAACTGGTGTCAATTGCCATAAACCCGTAGAAGCCAACTGAGGTGTGCTGATCCGCACCAGTTGAGGAGCTGGCCCGTCATACTGCTGTTCGCTGACAGACGTCTCATTTGTTCTACTCATGGCGTTTGGCTGCCCAAAAAGGACCCTGCTGGGGCTTTGAGGGGAGCTGGAGGTCCAGTCAAGTGCATTATTTACTGCCGGCGTCTCAAGTCTATTGCAAAGCAGTGTCGGGAGGAGCCGCCGTGGCTGTCTGGAGGTTTGGGCTGTGTTCTGGAGGGTTACAGCCTGATTTAGTTGGGGATTGGTCCTGCTTTGAGCAGGGGGTTGGACTAGACGACCTCCTGAGGTCCCTTCCAACCCTGATCTTCTATGATTCTATGATACACGAGGGGGACACGGGAGGCCACAGTAGGGGGTCAGCTTCCAGCTCCTCTGCAAGGAGAATCATAGCCAGGCAAGTGCTTCCGGGAGTCTGACTCCGAGAGACGCTTCAGAGCAGCTGCCTAGCAGCGGGGTGTTGGGAGGGTGACATGGAGACTCCAAGCGGCTCTCGTGCAGTGGCACTGACAGGCTAGACTCTGTGCTAGGGCAGGGCCGGGCAATCGCATAGCGGGGCTGGGGCTTGTTGGGAGGGAAGCCACGGGGCTTGTGTGGGAACATGTGTGTGGCTTCGCGGGTCGGGAACAACACCAACAGCCCCAGGAGAGCTCTGGTCCCAATCCGCCGGGTTGTGCTGTTGATGTCCTAGTGATGTCGCCTGATGCGCCAGGGTGGGGGAGCAGCTGCCGGGGGCCGAACGAAGGGGGTGCTCTGCTCCCAGCTTTGGGGAAGAACAAAGCCCACCCTGGAGATGACACGGGAAGGGGACAGGGTGGAGGGTGCTGGCTGATCCCCAATGTGCCCACAAACTGGAGAAGCACAAGGCCCTGCCCCCCTGTTTGATGGAGCACGAAGAGGCTGGGTTGGCCGCCTGTTAACAGCCGATGGGTAGGCAGTGGAGGATGAGTCCAGCTGCCTCCTTTCGCTACCCACCAGGGAAGGGCAGCAGGGCCAAATGCAGGGGACCCTCCCACTAAAACAGCCAATTGAGGGGGCATCCCGGCTGCTCTGTCCGCCCTGAGGCCGGAGCGGTGGTGAGCGGGTCAGGAGGCAAAGCAGCAATGACACAGTCTGGCCATTTCCACAAGACCAGCTTTAATATCAGTCAGGAGAACGAGGAAAACGCACAACGGAAAGGAATGAAAAATAACCCCCACGCCCGCTCCTGCCCGCACCCCCTCCCAAACCAGACTGGACAAGCTGCGTTACAGACCCAGGAGCACGACACTGTAGCCACGGGTGTGGTCATCCAAGAGCCATCCAGGTCCGGGAGTCAGACTGCGGTCCCTGGGCCGCTCCCCTTTAGGTGACGGTACCTCCGCCAGGCCCGGCTGCAGCACGGCTTAGCCTTTGGGGGACCCGGCCTAGCAAACTGACACGAAGAACAAGGAGGTAAGGAGAGTCCAAGAGCTGCACGTTTGTTTGTTTCTTTATTCTAATACAGCCTAATTAACGGCGATTTCGGGGACGGATGGGCCCGCAAAAATTCCTTCTTGGTAGTGAAATCGGAGCCTGTACAGAGGAGCAGAGCTTAGAAAGACAGCTAGGAATATATTGCCATAAAAAGTATCGGCATGCAAGTGCTTTATACAGTCGGCAGTATATGAAATGGTGGCTTTGTTAGTTTCTGTGTTGGTCTGTACAGTTCAAAAACGAGTGTGTCTTCAGATCCCGAAGACGAGCCCCCCCCACAGGAAAGGACGACGCACGTCAAGTCCAAGGCGCCGCTCGCTTGGTTTTGGCAGAGATGTATAATATATATACAGTTATATAGAGATATATATTATTTTTTTTTAATGCATAGCGATTTTCTTCCTTTTCCCCCGGTGCAAACCTGAGCTTGGTCCCTGCTTTCCTGTACAGTCTCCTTTCGGTCGGTCTTGGCACTCTGGCGCTGGCGGGGAGGTGTCAGCAGGCGATTTCCTCCAGCGTTCCCAGGGTCGTCTGCAGGGGCACGTTCACAGTGTGGCTGATGGTTTCGGAATGATTTGGCATGGGGTCGCAAGTGCTCTGGGGGAGGAAAGCGACAGGGTTACCACAGAGGGTCTCAGCCCTCGCGCTGCCAGCGGTTGGCTTTTGAATTCGGGCTGCCCCACCTCCCGGGCAGCAGCATGGCAGGTGTGTTTTGCCTGGGCGTACCTGGAATGGTCACCTACCCAGCCCCGTTGGGCGGCAGCGGGATGCTAGCTTGGCTAAGTGGTGGCCAAGGGTAACAATACACTTCTGTCTTTTGACAGCCCTCTGCTTGGGCTCCCAGCTGATAGGGGGCTGCAAAGAGCCATGCTTATCCTGAGAGCAGGCATGCCAGCGGTGTGACGGGGCTGCCACCTACGCCACTGGCAGGTGGGTCAGCACAGCCAACCCCCCAGCTCTCTCAACCTGGGTCATGCCCCACAACTGATACAGCTCAGCGAGGGCTGGACAAAGCCTGTCACCCCAGAGGTGGGATGGCGAAGCCTGCCCCATGGGTATACCATGCTGCCCCATGGGAGTGCCAGATCCTCCAGGCTGGAATCTGGGGTATGTCTACACTGCATTTAAACCTGGGGCTTGTGGACTTGGTGTTTCCAACCCCACGCTTGAGCGTCCGCACGGCATTGTGACCCTGGGTTTACAGTCGCTGGACCCTGGTCTCACAGCCGTGCTAACGCGTCCACACTGCACTACGCAGCCCTGCTGGCTCAGTCTGCGGCTTCAGCTGTATCCACGCGTGGACTCGCATTTCCGCCGGACTCGGGCTCTGACCCCTGCACCCTCCCCAAGCAGGGTCCGTGAGCCTGAGTCCAGAGGTGTGCCTCACCCGAGTCAGACTGAGTTCTGTGTAGACGGAGGTGGGGTTTGGCTCAAACCTGAGTCTGGGCCCATGTTACAGTGCAAGGTAGCCAGACCCTTAGAGGCAGTGGGTAACAGCGGGGAGGCAGGGCAGGGCTGGGGGGCAGCCTCACATTGTGCTTTGTAGTGCAGGGTGGCAGAGCAGAACCTTCCATTTCCTCTCACTTCCCCCATCTAGTGAAATATCCCCAGTCCGCAGTGCCCCTGGCACCAATCTCTCCATTGGTCCCACCCCTTCTCTTCACTCAGCATCAGGGACACGCAGCATCGCTGACACACACAGCTTCTGCACGGGGCTGCAAGGAACCAGCATTTGGGGCTTTCCCTTACCAGCAGAGCTGGTGGCAATTTTAGGACCAAAATATTTTCCCAGTGGAAAAAATGGAGTTTAGTCATTTGGGGCAAAATGTCCGATTTGCGGATGGGAAATTTCAAAGCAAGGCGAACGTTTCCATTCTGTTTCCTTTCCAACGGAGATGCTGTGTTGTGTGAAAAACCGAAACGTTTTCCAAATGGCCAATTGGGGCTCCCCCCCCCCGTTTTGCCATTAAATGCGGGTGAATGAATGAGGTCCAGGATGGGTTATTTTTATTTATTTTTCATTATTTTTAGCAAAACTGGAAACTCTTCAGGTGGAACATTTCAATTTTGCAGAAACCGCATTTTCCACTGAAGAAAAAAATTACGTGGGAAATTCCAGATCAACGCGAATGATTTGAATGGACAGTGCCAGCGTGGGGCCCAAGTTGTGGGGAGAAGGTCAGCCCAGGAGTCCCCCCCCAGCTCTTCCTTTGGTCCTGCTGCTGGGACGGACAGGGCTGGCAAGTAATTTGAGCAAGGAGGTGAGTTCCAGAGCTTGCATGTGCCTGCTCTTGCCTTGCTCAATGCTTCCCTGGATTCTCCACGGACTGGGGATGGGCTGAGCGTTAGAGAACCTCAGGGAGCTACTGGAAAGGGTCAGATTCCAAATGGGTTGGCTTGGTCCTGCTTCTCCTCCCCTTCTCCATCCAGGCTGCTGGGACTTCCCAGAAGCAGAGGACCACACGGCAACCCTTAAATCAGCAAGAGGGCTGAAAAGTGCTTTGTTGCACTCCATAGGGACACCCAGGGCCTGGATTGGAGGCTGGGCAGAGCTGTTATAAGGAGACCCACCTTTTCAGACATGAGCCTCCATTTAATCAAGGACTTCGGTCCATGTATTCAAGTGCTTAGTTCCCACTGAAATCAATGGGAGTTAGGTGCCTAAATACCTTTGAGGATCTGGGCCATAGCCCTCCAAAAGGCCTGCACTGTGGGCACAGAGGGGAAGGGCCTGCTAGGGGTGGGCTGGAAAGCTGTCTCCAAAATAGAGCTTCAGTTTGGTTTTGCACACGATTCCATTTTTTGCTGTAGCTGAAAAATGGCTCCCCCCCCCAAGAAAATCCACCCCCCTCCAAAAAAAACCCCAGAACACCCCCCCCCCCAAAATCACTGAAACTTTTTTTCAAAAAGTTGTCGACAGGATTGAAATTGTCCGTTTTCGGCAATATTTCCCACGATCGTTTTTATTAATATTTGTATTGACAATTGATTGCCATGTTTATAGAAATCATTTCCAAACGCCTCATAGAAAAAGCAGGTACTGAGCACTCAGTTTTCAGCCCGACAACGTGTTTTGGGGATAACGTTTTGAGAAAAATGCCAGTTAAAATTGCAGGAAAAAAAATAGACAATTTCAAACCCTGTGAAACAGAAACAAGTTTGCCATTTTGAACAAAATTGTTTTCTTGTGGTTGAAAGAGCTCTGCTCAGAAAGTCCTTTCCAGAGTCTCCCATTGGTCGGAGTGAATGCTTTGTGAAAGAATGGGCAGTTTTTCTTTAGTTTCATCTCTCTTATCCAAACCCGACCTGTCTACCTTGCTTGAAGTTTCTACACATTCGCTCTTGACCACTCTGAAGATTTGATCGCACGTCTTGCACTATGTGGTGTTTTTCTTAACGCCCTGGCTGGGAATCTCAGCTTTCATTCCTTTTTTTTAAAGGGAGGTTCTAGTCCTCAGGGTTTCAAAGAGAAGATGGAAAATGGGACCCCCCCCCCGCAAATGCTCAAAAAGCAGAAAGCAATTCAAAAGACCCCCCTTCCCCAATTCAAAAATAACCTCATGATTTTTAGAGCAACTGAAGCTGTTGCAATTGAATGGGGCCTGACTCCTGGTGGTGGGGTTGGCCATGCTGCCTTCCCGTAGTATTGAGTCCCCCGGTGATGGTACTGATGGGGATCCTTACCACGTTTTCGTCATGGCTCCCCTCCTCCTCCTCCTTGCCAAGCAGGTCTAACAATCTTTCCTTGATCAGCTGAAAGAGAGACAGACTTGGTTACTTAGGTAGGAACAGCCAGTCGCAGCTCTCCGCCCTGAGCAGTAGCAGCACCCAGCCAGCCAGGACAACCACTCATTCTCTAAGACGCCTCTGGGATCGTCCCCGCCCCCTAAAGGGCCTGGTGGCAGCTTGACGTCTCCATGTGAACGTGGAAGGCCAGATCGATCTCCAGTGCAGCTCCTGGGACTGCAGTCTGGCACCAGACCCTCCCAGCAGGATTGGCTCCAGGTGAGACCACAAGCCCTGTTTCTATGGATGGGAGCTGCAATGGGCCGTCCATCCCCCCCACCCCCAATCTGGCTTGTGGCCCATTGTGTGCCCCACACCTCGGTGCTGAGTGGGCCCTGCCCCGGCCGTCCTCATGAGCTGGGTGGCTCCGTGGGGACAGGGTGCCAGGTGCTGACTGCACATCCAGCTCCAGCAGTGCTGGCATGAGTCTAAGAGGCTGCAAATGTTGCACTGAACAGAAGAGCTTCATGGGAGCTGCCTAATCTCTGGAGCAGTCCCCTCGCACGGTGCCCTCACAGAACGGATGCTGCCGGGCACGGGCAGGTTGCGATAGACGGCTCCATCCAGCTGCTTGGGAATGCAAACTGACAGGCTGGGGAGTGCCACGTTTGCCCGAACTGAAGCTGTTGCAATTGAATGAGGAAAGTGCTTAAGGGCCGGGCTCTCTGGCCATCGGAGGCCAGTGGAGGCTGAAGAAGGGGGATAAACTGGATCTACAACACTGTTCCCAACAGGCCCAGATCCTGCAGCAGCATTGTGGCTCCATGGCTGGGGAGGCGACAGGCTAAAGCAAAAGAGGAGGGTCCCATGGAGTCATATTTTCCTCCGTGAGGCCCATCAGAGAAGCCAGCAGAAGGGGGCCATCAGGCAATGCTGAGAAAAAGGTTCTCTGCACAGAGGACCCAGGAGATCTACAGTATTTTTTTTTTGGGGTGGGGGAGGAAGTCCCTTCCCTCGACAGAAAAAATTGGGGAAGAGGAGGACGTTTTCTGATGGAAGACAGCTATTTTGTCGAAGCAGAAATGCCAGTGGAAAATGGCTGTTCCTAGCGACATTTTTCGGGTTATTGAAAAATCTCGGTTGGCCGGGTGAACATTTTTCAGTAAACCCCTCACATTTTTGCCCGTCCAGCTGAAATTTTTCAGTTGCTGAAAACCACAGAATGTTGGGCTTTCCAGGCGAACCCGAAACGTGTTGTAGAAAAATTCTGACGTCATGTTTTCATCCAAACTCTTCCCTGAAAAAACACCCCAAACGGTTCCTGAGCAGCTCTAGCAAGAAGGCCTATTTCCAGAGAGGCCATGAACGCCGGGAGGATGCTGGTGGATGGGCAAAGATACTTTAGCAGGAGCGTGGGAACTGCCACTCAGAATTAGACGGACTGCTGGTCTGATCCAATCTCTGACTGCCAGTAGCAGGTGCTGCAAAGGAAAGTGCAAGAACCTCCCTAAGTGGACTATTATGGAATAACCTATGTGCATAGGAACATGAGAACGGCCGCACTGGGTCAGACCGTGGGCCATCTATCCCAGCATCCTGTCATCTGACAGCAGCTGGGGCCTGAAGCTTTAGAGGGAATGAACAGAACAGGCAATGTATTGAGTGAGCCACCCTATCATTCAGTCCCAGATTCTGGCAGTCAGAGGTTTAGAAACACCCCAGAGCATGGGGTTGCCTCCCTGACCATCTTGGCTAATGGCCATTGATGGACCTATCCTCCATGAACTTATCTAGGTTTTTTTTTAACCCAATTATACTTTTGGCCTTCACAACATCCCCTGGCAATGAGTTCCACAGGTTGACTGTGTGTTGTATGAAGAAGTACGTCCTTTGGTTTGTTTTAAACCTGCTGCCTGTTAATTTCATTGGTGACCCCCTGGTTCTTGTGTTATGTGAAGGATCCTAACCCCAGAATATCTCTAGGGTCCTAACCCCAGAATATCTCTAGGGTCCTAACCTCAGAATATAGGGACTTCTCTACAAGGGGAAATTGACCGGTAATAACAATTCCAGAACAGCGTTTATTCTGGGATAGAGTGTTCATACAAGGGAGGTATTCCAGGATAGCTAAATTATACCAGAATAGCTATTCCAGAATGGTGATTCTGGACGAGTTCTGCAGGTCAATTTCCCCTGTGTAAACAAGGCCTTTGTCAATGAAGGTTGCTCATCTCTAACACTTCTTCCAGATGACCTCAGTGTATAACGCTCTTGGGATGTGCAGTGCGACTGTGCAGAGACCTCACGGAATAAAGTGTCATTTCTATTCATAACACCAAGAAATCAATGTTTGCCAAAAGAAAAAAACTTGGCAATAGAAAAATATTCTCCAGCTTCTACGAATGGACCCCCCCACACACACATACACCCCAGAAACTTTATTTGAGAGAATTCTTATTACCTTCCGATCAAAGAATCCAAAAGAGACACTGGCTTGTTGGATTTTAATCAATTTCTGTGTGTGCACAGATTGAGATATAAACCAGGGAGCAGAGTCTGTTTGAACTCCAAAGCCCGTATGAGTTTTATGCTCATATTTTTAATTATATTTTATTGCAAAATAATGCCACCCAATATGAATGGCTGCTCAGAAGGGACTCTGTCAGTAGAACTGCCTGCCTTACACTGCAAATGCATCACTACCTCTTTAATAACACGTAAGGCTTGTCTACTCTTGAGATGTTACAGTGGCACAGCCGTAGCCCGGCAGCTGTCATGCTTCAGAGTGGACACCACCTGTGCTGACCGGGGGGTTCTCCCATTGGTGTACATAAGCCACTTCCCCAAGAGGCAGGACCTAGGTTGATGGAAGAATTCGTCCACCAAGCTAGCGCTGTCTATACCGGGGGCTTAGGTTGGCTTAACTACATCTCGCAGCAGTGTGGATTTTTCATGTACCTGGGCCAACCGAACTTTTTAGCATAGACCAGGCCTTAAAGTGGGATTGTTTAAAAAGGTCCCTAAGCAAGTCAGGGGCCAAAGGCTGATTGAAAATCAATAAGCCATATATGCCAAAGCCAAGGAAGGTCGTCTGACTGAGTGGCTACAGCACCGCACTAGAAGTCAGGACACCTAGGTTCTATTCCCAACTCTGCAATTGGAGTCCTGGGTGACCTTGAGCAATTCACGTTGTCGCTTTGTGCCTCAGTTTCCCCAAGTATAACATAAGGACTTTGAGTGCTTTGAGATCTTCTGCTTAAAAGCGCGATCTATGTGCTAGCTCTTATGATTTAGGTGCTTTTGAAAATGTCATTTGACTGTCCCAAAGTGCATGAGACTAAAATATCCCGGATGTTTGAAAAAGGCATATGTTCAGAAACTATTTCACTAAAATATTTGCATATGTTAAAAACTAGCTTACTAAAATGGTCAAAAATTCAACTATTTTACTAAAGTATTCTCCACCTGTCACTAAAATATCGGAACAGCTTTTTGTTTAATCAGTGAAACAACATATGTCCTGGCATTTAACTGGCATAACTTCGCGCACGCCCATGGAAGAGAGTCATTGTTTGCAATCGGAAACCTGCATTTCCGTTTTTTGCTCCTCTCTTACGCATGCTTCTGCTGCGCTCGGTGGCCAATAGGGGAGCCTTCTTGTAACTAAGTTCTCACCTGTAAATTGCTATCGAGGACAAACCACAGCTATAGTGCCTGAGGGATAAATGATTATTTGTGGAGTTGTAGCACCCAGCGTCCCCAGTCGGGGTCACGGCCACATCGTGCACAGCGCTGGGCATATACAAAGTAAGGGCAGTCCCTGGCTTGAACTGATTAGAATCGAAAAGCCCAATTCTGCCACCTTTACTCCAGCGGACTTGAACCACTAATGCTGCTTATAACTGAATTTGCCTCCTCACAACATCAGTGCTGCACGCCACCAGAGATTGCCATGCTCGGGTGCCACCGCCGTGTGACTTTTCAGTGGCCTTTGCCACTCTGTGAATAGCCGTCCTGGAAATCAATGGCCGCTTTAGTAGCAGCGTGCATTGAAATCGTTCCGCTTAACCATCAGTGGTGCGTTACAGCCCGCTGGCTTGTTTCAGAGTCAGGTGCTGCTCAGTCCAAGGACGGGCAGCAGGATCCAGCGGATGTAAGAAACAAGCTGAGTAGGGAAAGGAGGGTGTATGTAGCAGGGGCAGGAGCACATGGCGACATGCCCAGAGGGTGAGCTGGTTAAATGCTCAAGTTAAACTAGGTCCAGGAGCAGAGGGGAAGAGCGGCCCTATGGTTAAGGCTGTGGGGTAGGACGCCGGGCACCTGGGACTAATTCCCTGCTCTGCCACTGATCTCTTGTGTGACCTTGGGCAAGTCACTTAGCCTCTCTGGGCCTCCGGGCCCAGCATCCAATACAGGGTAGGGCCGAGCTCAGAAAGTGACACCAAGTGCCTTTAAAACTCACAGCTTCCCAACGCCGGGGGCGGATTGAGACTCACTCTGCTCTCGGCTGCAGACCTGGCAGATCTGCGTAAGGGGCCTTCCAGGGCCAGGGGAAGGCTCAGGTCCAGGCATTCTGACACCCCCCGGACACCCTGTGCCCCTTCCCTTGCTGGGTTTGTGCCCGGTCTCCTGGCAGCCTGGCTCTGAGTCTGCAATGCAAGCGCTTGGGCCCTGACTCGGACACCCGCCCCTCGTGCAATGAGACCCGACAGCAGCGTGCCAGGAGCACATGGTGTGTAAAGCCCTCCCCCCTACCCCCGCGGACTCTCCTGAACGTTTCCCGTTGCAGCGCCTCTCCCGTGGGCTTCGTTCAGGCCTAACGCGGAGACACAAGCTCCTTAATGAATGTCTCTGACTAGATAACACAGACTAGCCTCCCCCAGGCTGACCAAGAAGGCGCACAGCATGCTGGGACCTGTAATCAGCAGGCTGGCTCTGCAGTAAAGATGAAGGCAGCCAGGAGCAGAACAGCAAACCTCTGTGGGCCACGTACGTTTGGAGCACACGCCGGCCCCTCTGGACTCTCT